CACGTCCATGTGTAGAGTCTGCAGCGGAGCCTCTGTCGGAGGAAACTCGGAGGAGTGAGGGGCGGCGCGCTGTCGCCCCTCGACGCAGGGGACGCAGGTAGGGCCAGGCCCCGAAGGAAGGGGAGGGAGAGACCCAGGAAGACCAGAGACAAGGACACGGGAAGCCATGCCTCGGAGACGAGGCAAGGAGGGGTGACCAAGGCGGTGGTGCCAAAGGAGAGTCAGGTAGGACAGCAGACGACACGAGCAGGGGGCAGACTCAGGACCAGACCTGGACGCCGCAGCAAACACCTGACTCGACGCAGCTACCTGGGCAGACTCAGCAGTAGGAGGAGACTCAGCAGTAAGGGTTTACAGGATCGACCCTGGCCGACGGGTGAACGTGGCCAAGTGTCGGCCTGTCCGAGCACACCTGCAGTGGGTCACTCGCTGATTCGCAGGAGTGAACTGGTCAACCCCTCGATCCTGTAGGTCTGCTCCACTCACCAAGTTCGTAGAGAACGAGGGGAGGTAGAGACCAGACAGGGTGCCAGAGGGGGCTGCAAGGCACGGAAAGAGAGTGGAGAAGCTAGCAAGGACAGGACCCCCAGAGGGGTCTGCTAGGGAGACTGCAACCGGCCGATTAAGCGGCGTAAGAGTGGTGCGGTCTCGAAAGAAGGAGCGGGACGCACCCGAGTCCAGGGTGAAGGTGTGGAAGGCCTGAGCCGATGTAGTACCTGAGAGAGTAGACTCACCAGCGCCTGGGGCGGCAGACGCACTGGCACGTGGGGCAGCAGACGCACTAGCACCTAGAGCAGCAGTCTCACCAGCACCTAGCGTAGCAGCCTCAATGCCCGGGTCAGGCGGTACACACAGGTAACAGGCACCCTCAACACTATCAGCAACAGCATACATGGCAGCAAGAATAGCATCAAAGTCAAGATCAAAGATAGCAACCCCGGCCTTAGCCAGATCTCCCCAGCGAGGGATCTCTGACGCCTCAGGGAACTGGCGACGCCACGCGTCCGTCAGGCGACCAAAGCAGCGCTGGGTGGAGTGCGGACCTCCGCACTGCTCACCAGTGCGGTCGCCGGTACGGAGAACGTAAGAGCAGGGACCAAAACCCCCACCGCGCTGGCGTGCAGTGTACCACTCACGAAGCTGCTGAGGGGACAGGGTCACACCACTCCGCTGCTGCTGCTGGCGCTCACCACCACCGGCGCCACTCCTCGGCGCAGTGTCGCGACTTGCTCCACCACCGCCGCCTCCGCCGCCGCCGCCGCCTCCGCCGCCTCCGCCGCCTCCTCCACCTCCGCCTCCTCCACTACCTCTGCCGCCTCCGCTCCCTCCGCCACCTCCACCGCCTCCGCCGCCTCCACTGCTGCCGCCGCCGCCACCACCCCCAGCACCACTCCCACCTCCACCCCCACTCCCTCCACCGCCTCCACCACCACCTCCACCGCCCCCTCCACCTCCTCCAGTGCCCTTGCCCCCCTTGCCCTTGTCGGTGCGGTGTCTCCCGCTCGGGGCAGACGCAGCGCCGACCGACTCGAGACCAACGAGATCGGCCGCAGCAGCAGAGGCAACAGAGGGCAAGAGGGGGGAGGGAGAACACCCCTCAAAGACGGGGGTGCGAGGGTCACCACGAGAGGCTCCTACAGCAACTATGCTCTTCTCTATCGCTAGGAGGGCCTTCTCGAGGAGGTCAACGGTGAGAGTGGTGGGGCAAACAGAGAGGAAGTGGTCCCTGACTACACGGAGAGAGTCAGGGAGACGGGTGACTATGTAGTAGAGGGTGATGTACATTGGGGGGGGGGGGGTTCTTGGCGCAGAACTCAGCAGGAAGCGCAGCGCAGTAGCGAGTGTCACTAGTGCGGAGGTGCGTAATGAGGTCAGCGACTGTGGGAAAGGCAGCAAGGTCAGGGAAGAGGTACGGTAGCATGAGGCGGCTCAGTGCAGCAGCGGCAGGGGAAGAGTAGCGTGCAACTACAGCGTCGTACAAGGTCTGAGCACTCTTGTACTGGCTAAAGTGTGCACGCTCAGTGGTCGGTAAGTGGCGGCGCACAGCAAGGCGAGCAGCAGCGTCACGTGTGGCCCACTGTGAGGGAACAGTGGCGTCAGCATCAGCAGCAGGGGCAGGGGAGGCACCAGAAGTGAGGTCAAACAGGGAGAGGCCATCTGCCCTATCGCACTGCAGGAAAAGCTGCAGATCATCTACCCAGACCTCAAAGTCCACTGCCCGACCCTCAGCGTCAAAGGTGAGAACGCTAGGGGAAGCCATAACAGCAGGAGGCAGGGCAGTGCAGTGGCAGAGACTATGCTCTTACCAGGTAGGTGGAGCGATCGGGCTGCTCGGCGGCTCGGCTGTCGGGCGGCTCGGCTGCAGGGCGGCTCGGCTGCAGGGCGGCTCGGCTGCTGGGCGGCTCGCCTGCACGGTGCTGGGCGGCTCGGCTGTCAGGCGGCTCGGCTGCTGGGCGGCTCGGCTGCTGAGCTGCTCGGCTGCTGGGCGACTCGGCTGCTGGGCGGCTCGGCTGTCGGGCGGCTCGGCTGCTGGGCGGCTCGGGCGGTCGGGCGGCTCAGGTGGCCGGCGGTTCGGCTGCTCGGCGCTACGGGCGCTGGGAGGCGGGGTCGTAGGTGGTGGCGAGGTCGCAGGTGGCGGCGAGCCGCAAGGGTGGGCGGGGCCGCTGTGGCGACGGGGCCGAAGTGGGCGACGTAGCGGGGCCGCGACGGGGCCGTAGCGGGGCCTAAGTGGGGCTGTAGAGGGGCCGACGGGGCCGAAGCGGGGCCTAAGTGGGGCCGTAGAGGGGCCGACGGGGCCGAAGCGGGGCCGCGACGGGGCCGTAGCGGGGCCGTAGCGGGGCCGACGGGGCCGACGGGGCCGACGGAGCCGACGGGGCCATAGCGGGGCCTAAGCGGGGCCGACGGGGCCGAAGCGAGGCCTGAGCGGGGCCGCGACGGGGCCGACGGGGCCTAAGCGGGGCCGACGGGGCCGACGGGGCCGTAGCGGGGCCGTAGCGGGGCCGTAGCGGGGCCTAAGCGGGGCCGACGGGGCCGTAGCGGGGCCGTAGCGGGGCCGTAGCGGGGCCGTAGCGGGGCCGTAGCGGGGCCGACGGGGCCAACGGGGCCGTAGTGGGGCCGTAGCGAGGCCTAAGCGGGGCCGACGGGGCCGTAGCGGGGCCGTAGCGGGGCCGTAGTGGGGCCTAAGCGGGGCCGTAGCGGGGCCGACGGGGCCTAAGCGGGGCCGTAGCGGGGCCGTAGCGGCCTAAGCGAGGCCGTAGAGGGCGGCTCGAGGGGCAGTAAGGGCGGCCAATAGGGGCCACTAAGGCGGCTCGAGGTGCTACTCGGGTTAGGAGCTAAGCGCGTTCCGGGCAGGGAAGGAAAAAATAGTTCGTGGTGGGCCCTAGGCAGTATTCCCACTCGGGAACCTGCTCGATACCATGACGAGAAGTGAGAATGGAATGAATGAACTATGAAACAGTTTGATACAAGTACTAACCCTAATTGGGTTGTACCCCTTATGGACTACCCCACTACAGCCTACACAAATGTATAAGCTATAATGTTATGACAGTTGTTGAGCTGCCTGTCTCTTTAGTTAGGGTCCACACGTCTTTCACCCTTTTTGCGCCGTCCCAGTCAGTCTGTATCAGGTCTCCCACTTTCAGTTCCAGCAGACATTCGGAGCCCTTCTGCCTTCCGAAGGGGCTTTTCCCTCGATAAAAAATGTGTCTGCTGAAGCAGATCCTTTCTGCCGCATAATCCCACCTGTTCGCAGGCGCGGGAATCCTCTGCTGCAAGACTTGCCAGAAAGTAATCACCGATCTCCTCCATTTTTCTGAAAAACACCGGAAGCTCCAAAACTTTCTAAACCGCGTTCGGATGTGCCTTCTGGACAGGCCCTAATGCCCGCGAAAAGCAGTTTCCTCTCACCAAGTGGGTCGTTATGAAAATCACCCCGAATGTGCCACGCCAGCCCGGCAACAATAATTCCTGCCAGCACATGCTGGAAATGTTACCATCACGTGCGCCCCCGTGGCAATTCCTCCAGGCACGTCAGAGACGATTGCTGTTGGCGCGTTAGTGGCGTGGCGATTCCACCAGAAAATACACAGATTGGCCGCGTGGCATTCTGTACAGCACAGAAATTCATTGGGTCCTCTTATAAGAAGTTGAACTGAAAAAGCCCATATTATTGGGCATATAATTGTGGGCATATAATCGGGCATATAGTTGTGGGCATATAATTGGGCAGGCTATAAGCCCATTAGTCCGATTATAACGCAGGCCTGTAATTCTATCCGGGGGATGAGATGACTGTACGCTAGGTGAAAGGACAGCTGGTGAAAAAAAAAGATATGGTATATTGCCATTAATTTGTTTTATGCGTGCACGAAGTTACTCTTTGATAAACCAGTATATCGGAGGAATGACGGCAAGGAAAATAACAAAGAATACGAAGAATTAGGCTTCAACCCTAGTGTTGTCCTTATAACCAGCTCCAGAGTCTCCCTTTGACTTGCCTTGCCTCTCTCTCCACCCAACTTCCCCAAGCTCACCAGCTAATCTCCCCATCAGTCCCTCCTAATCCCAATTCTCCTGCTGCTGTTCCACTACTTAACCTAGTGCCGCCTGCAAAAATGCCAGCTCAGCTCTCACAGACGCCTCCTGCCCTGCTCCTCTTCTCACTCTCTCCTGTGTCGCCCTGTAACATATCCCACCGTATCCCACACTTGTGACCACCTTCAGTCTCTCCCTATAACCTTCCCTGGCTTGTTCCATGCTACCCCTGCAAGCTCGCCAGTTCCAGCTTCTCCCTCTGCTATGACACTGTTTCACCAGCTCCAGTTTCTCCCGCTACTGTCACGCTTTGTAACCCTGTCCAATCACACTCTACCCCTGCAAGCTCGTCAGCTCAGCTCTCACTGCTGCCTCCTGCTCCAGCTTCTCCTTCTGAGCCGCATCCAGCCCTGCTGTGCTGCCCCTTGCTGCTGCCACCGTGAGTAACCCTGTTCCACTGCACTCTACCCCTGCAAGCTCGCCAGCTCAGCTCTCACTGCTGCCTCCTGCCCTAACTTCTCCAACTGTGCTGCATCCAGCCCCACCGTGCTGCCTCCCGCTGCCGCCACCCACGCCTTCAACTCCTCAATCTGCCGCAGCCGCTTGCCCAGGTTGCGCACCCTTTTTGCCTTCTCCGCTGCCTCGTCGGCGCCGCTTCCTTGCCCTGCACGGGAGGGGAAAGGGGAAGAGTGGAGTGCGATCAGGACTGTGACCTGCCGCAGCCGCTTACCCAGATTGCGCACTCTCTTGGCCTTCTCTGCTGCCTCATCTGGTCCGCCACCTGCGCCTGTACAGATAGAACAGGGGAGGAGTGGAGTGAATGAGCTAGTCAGCAGCACTGGCTGCTGCTTCCCCCTGCTGCTGCCTTGAGCTCCTCAATCTGCCCTACCCGCTTCCCCATGCTGCGCACACTCCTCGCACTCTGCGCTGCCTCGTCTGCACCGTTGGCCTGCCCTGCACGGGGAAAACTACATAGGAGTGGAGTGAACGAGCGAGTCAATGCTGAGATGGTGGACGGTGCAGGGGTTCTGGGCAGAAATTAAACAATATCTGCCCAGGCAGTGGCTGCTGCAGCAGTTCTCCAATGGTAACTTCCCAGACAACAACGACTACAGTATGGGGCTCACGTTTCAAGGCAAGGGGTTGTTCTTTGGTGAAGCAATGGAGTGTCTGAACAGAGAATCGAGACGCCTCAAAGGTTTTCAGACAGAAAGTTTACCTTGTGACGCTTGCTGCTCGGGCTGTGTCTTGGCCCCATCGTCAATGCTAAGTGCCGCCACATTAGGAGCCTGCTGGCTCGCCTGCTTGCCGTGACTAGCCTGCATCCCACCCAGTTTGGAGTACAGTGGAGTGGAGGACACACCAAGGTGTGAGGTAAGGTGGACAGTGCGTGGGATGCATAGTTTAGGTGTGAGTTCACGCAGTAAAGTACATAAAATAGAAGTACAGCTGCTGAGAAACGCTCTGTTGGATTCACCCGAGGGACGACCTGAAAGCGGACCTGATCAGGTGAAGCAGCGTCCTTCTTGGCCTTGGCAGCCTCCCGCTTCTTGGCGTTCTTCTTGGCGCTCTTAGATAGCTCTGCTGACTCCGCCCTGCCACAGCAAATAACACAGAGAAGGGTAAAATCTAGGCGCCTCAAACAACCCTCCCGCTTGTTGGCGTTCTTCTTGGCACTCTTGGATAGCTCTGCTGACTCCGCCCTGCCACAGCAAATAACACAGAGAAGGGTAAAATCTAGGCGCCTCAAACAGCCCTCCCGCTTGTTGGCGTTCTTCTTGGCACTCTTGGATAGCTCTGCTGACTCCGCCCTGCCACACCCACAGTATGCGGCATGCAGTAGAGAAAGGGGCGACTATTAGGCCCCTCAGGCAAGCGCTTTGCTTGGCAAGGGGTGCACAGCACAGTGGGAACGCACGCATTCACATGAGCAGGGGCTGGTTGAGGGGAGTGCGCCATCAGCGGAAGGCTTATGGAACATTTGACCAAGCATCGTGTTCAGAGGCAGCATGCAGTGGTATAGATGAACGGGCGTCATGCAGTCCCTAGATGCACCCGAGAGGGGAAGCTGCTGCTTCCAGGGGCTCACCTGTGGGAGCGATGCACTTTGTTGGAGCCAATCTTGTGTGGGAATTACATAGCCTCCAAACACTGTTACAGCTTTTCCGTGAGGAGATGATGGGGCTCACCCGGGGGGGATGTAAAGCTTTGGAGCACTAGCTTGTCATCCTCGCCTGACATCTGAGTCGACTCAAAAGTGTGCTCCTAGGGGGTCATCCGGGTGGGGGAGCACTTGTTTGGAGCGCCTATCGTGTGCCTCTTGTCATCCCCACCTGGCATCTGAGTCGACTCAAGACTAAAAGGCCCAGTTATTGCCTGAGTCGACAAAGAAGTTCAATTCGTTTGAGTGTGCAACCAAGATCTTACCCGGGGGGGATGTACTTCTTTGGCGCGCCTATCCTGTGCGGCTTGTCATCCTCGCCTGACATCTGCCATGTGACAATAACGGAGGGAGGTGACAATAAGGGAGGTGGCAATGAGGGAGGCGGTGATTATGGATGTGACCGTAAGCGAGGTGGCAAGTAGATTTGGTGGAAATACGGAACATGGTATTGACCGTAAGGGAGGTGGTAAGTAGATTTGGTGGAAATACGGAACATGGTATTGACCGTAAGGGAGGTGGTAAGTAGATTTGGTGGAAATACGGAACATGGTATGGTATTGACCGTAAGGGAGGTAGTAAGTAGATATGGTGGAAATACGGAACATGGTATTGACCGTAAGGGAGGTGGTAAGTAGATTTGGTGGAAATACGGAACATGGTATTGACCGCAAGGGAGGTGGTAAGTAGATTTGGTGGAAATACGGAACATGGTATTGACCGTAAGGGAGGTGGTAAGTAAATCTGGCGGGAATAAGGGACATGGCAATGAGGGAGGCGGCTGTAAAGTGAGCGGCAAGGAGCGGCAACAAACAGGACGGAAATAAAGAGAGCTGCAATAAGGAAGGTGGCAATAAGGGATGTGACAAAAACGGATGTGCCAATAAAGGATGTGACAGTAAAGAATGCGGTGATTAAGGATGTGACAGTGAGGGATGTGGCAGTAAAGGAGAGGGCAACAGCAGGGACAGGGCATACAAAGAACATGGACTTGGGAGGGAGGGACCACATACACCCATACACCACTATACATGAACTCCATTCGAGTCAGCTTAGAAATGGGTGGTTCATGGGTGGAGACTTGGGTTGGGATGCGACAATACACCACCCATGAACCAGCTGCCACGCGGGCAACGACAACAACTGACTGCCACTGCCAGGTGGCTACTAGCAGCAAACGCCACGTGGCGACCAACAGGAGTTGCCACGTGGCAGCTGACCTGTGCTCGAAAGGTGGAGGTCATGAGGGCCGCGTTGGGTGGGCGGTAGGGCGCTGGCTTGGTGGCTGGAGGTTGCACTGGTGAGGCTGATAGTGTGGGGAACGGGGGGAGAAAAAGGGAAGGAGAGAAGGAGAAGAGACAAAGCAGGCAGCGGGGAAGGTGGAGGTCATGAGAGAAGCATTGGGTAGGCGGTAGGGCGCTGGCTTGCTAGCTAGCGGCTGCAGTGCGCCTGGTGAGACTGATATGGAGGGGTGGGGGGGGGGCGGAGGAAAGGAAAGGAGAGGGCGAGGAGAAGCGGAAGAAATAAATCAGGCAGCGGAAAAGGCAGAGGAGAAGGAAGACGTTATGAGGGCAGTGTTGGTTGGGCGGTAGGGCGCTGGCTTGGTGGGTGGTGGCTTCACTGCTGCTGATGAAGCTGATGGGAGGGGGAAAGGGGGAGGAAAGGCTTAGTGGGAAAATACGCTCCGAACTGTTTGCGTTTAGCGTATACACGCTAGCGTTTATACGCAATACGCAAAACGCTAGCGAATACGCTATACGCTAGCCAATTTTTTTTAGGGGCAGCCCGGCCAAAAAAATTCAACCTATACGGTTCGCTTCGGAATTGCACGACGAACACATTGGCGGGGTCAAATGTCACGTCCGCGCTGTGTGCTAGCGTGGACGTGGGTTGAAAGTTTGAGCCGCGAATGGAAAGTAACGTACGTCGAGTCGCGCTTGCACGTTCCCTCACATTTTGGTGGTCACAGTCAGTACCGCATTCAAAACCTTCACAACCAATTGCGATTCCAACTTCAGTTGCCCATCTTCCAACTCCCCCAATCTACTCGCTATTAAACACGCACACCCCCAACATCCAACTCATTAGGTCTTCTCCCGCTACCAGCAGAGCACTGGGCATTCCCTAGCGCCTGGTGCCTATGTCGACTACTACCACTTCTCCTCCCACGACACCGTCAGTTAACACCGTTGGCAGCTCGCAGACTCTTCTAACCGAGGCACGGGAGTATCTCCCCGACGTCGACCATGTCGTCTTCAAGCATTTCCGCATCGTCAAGCGGGTCGAGGGTAAAGCCCAGCAGTACGAGTGCAAGTTCTGCAGCAACCTCTACACCGGTGCTGCCATCCGATGCGCGCAACACTTCGCGTCGTGGAAGGGCATGAAACGCCGTGAAGTGGTGCTGTGCAAGGATGCGCCGCAAGATGTGCGTCGGGCCATGAAAGCGCATTACGAGGCAAAGACTGCTGCGGCCGACGAAAGGAGGCGGGCCGCTGCTGCCGCGGTTGCCGCAGTGACGGCTGACGGTGGGAAGCGCGCGCGAATCACCGATTACCTCGAGGGGGATACGGCTGCACGAAAGCGAGAAGCGGACGAGTCACTTGCGCTTGCTTGGGCCGCCCTCCACATCCCCGAGCGCCACATTGACCATCCTCTGATGGTCAACGCATTGAACAACGTCTCCCGCGCCGGGAAAGACTACGTCCCCCCCAAGCGGAAATACGTCGGCGGTGCTGGCCTTGTAGCGTGTCGCAACGGCATCGAGGCGGGTTTGGTGGGCGTCAAAACGAGCTGGAAGCGGACGGGCGTGACGGTGTCGTCCGACATGATGACGGACCGCAGGGGCAGGCCGCAGGCCAACATTCTTCTCGTCAATGATTCGGGCGCCGTCTTCTACGACTGTGTTGACTGCAACATGGAGAAGAAAACGGGTGGTTACGTGGCGGGGATTCTCAGGCCCGTGGTGGAGGAAGTGGGGCCAGAGAACGTTGTGGCGTTCTGCATGGATGGGGGATCGAACTACGCGGTGGCGGTGAAGCGACTGATTCAGGAGTGGCCGCACATTCAAGACGTGCCGTGCGCCACCCATGTGATGGATCTTCTCCTGGAAGACGTGGGGAAGATGGGGTGGGCTAAGCCGGTGGTCGACAAGGGAGGGGAGATTAGCAGCTTCGTCCGCAACCACCATTGGACCCGCGGGTACCTGCGCACGCCGGAATTGGTGGAGGGGAAGGTTCTGGAAGCGCTGAAGCCGGCTGGAACGAGGTTCGGGACGAACTACATCTCCATCTCCCGGCTGTGTGCGATGCGCGGCAGCCTCACCAACATGGTGACGAGCGAGGGGTGGAAGGAGTGGGCGGTAGGGGACCGGAAGAAATCATGCGACGCGTTTGCTGCGCTGATCCATGATGCCGCCTGGTGGAAGACGGCCGACTTCTTCACTGCCCTCCTGAAGCTGCCCTATAAGGCGATGAGGCAGACGGACGGGCATGCCGTGGGGATGATGGGGAGGATATACGATGTTATGCTTCAGTTGACTGAGGACGTGGGGGACTTACTCGATGCGGACGAGGAGCAGCTGAGCAACGCGGATAAGGACCAGATCCGCAAGATCCTCAGAGACCGATGGGACGGCAGCCTCGCATGCGCCATGCATGTCGCTGGCCGCATCCTCAACCCCGCCAATCAGGAGGAAGATATCTTCGGCACTGATCTCGAGTGCACGAAGGTCTTCAAGGTGTTCATCAGCCAGTACGCCGAGTTCCTTGCGAGCCGCGGGGATGGGGGGGATGACGCTTGCAGCATCTTGCTTGAGCTGGGGGACGGGCTGAGGGCGTTTCTTGACATGAAGGGTTCTTTTGGGATGCCGGAAGCCGTGGCACAAAGGAAGCTGGTGAAAGAGGGGAAGTATAGCATGGTGAAGTGGTGGCAGTGGAATGGGACCGATGCTCCACGTGTGGCGGGGCTCGCGGTACGGGTGCTGTCTCAGCCCGTGTCCGCCTCACCTTGTGAGCGTGGATGGTCATCTTGGGATGTCGTCCACACCGCACGTCGGAACAGGCTCGGATCCGCCAAGTGCAGGGACTTGGTCTATGTTACGCACAACTGGAATGTTGTGCGCAACTGGCACACGCGCGCCGATGTCCTGCCACATGTGGTGGCCGGGATAGGAGCGGAGCCTCCAATCCCGGCGGGATACAATGGGCTGGAAGACGAGGCGAAGGGAGAGGATGAGGAGGAAAGCGACGACGACATCCTCGAAGACGAGTACGCTAAGTAGAGGGGGCATATGTGGCTTGCATTGCAGTGGGCGGCCAGGCCTAAGGAGTAGTACCTAGAGAGTCCAGGATATAAGTGATGGTCGTGATGGTGTAGTGTACCATTGTAGTGATGGTAGTGGTAAGAGAGTTAGAGAGTAGGGGAAAGTTATGTGCAGGCCTTGGTGTATGTGACTTAGTGGGAAAAAAATGTACTCTGAAATTTCAGACCCCAAACCCCTGCCCCATACCCCCCCCCCCCCCCCCCCCCCTTCCCAGGGTTTTTTTGACCCTGCCCGGGAAGTTTTTTTTCTGCCCGGAAAAGCGTATTCCCAAACTCGGCCCGAAAGCGTTTAGCGTATATACGAGTGCGTATATAAGATAAGCTTATATACGCAATAAGCTTATATTCCCACTAAGAGGAAAGGGAAGGGGAGGGCGAGGAGGAGGAGGAAACAAAGCAGGCAGAGGGGAAGGTGGAGGTTGTATTGGGTGAGCGTTAAGGAGTGGACTTGGTGGCTGGCGGCTGCAGTTTTGCTGTCGAGGCTGATATGAGGGAGAGAGGGAAGTATGGAAGGGGAAGGAGAGAAAGAGAAGAAACACAGCAAGAGAGGAAGGTGGAGGTTATGAGGGAAGTGTTGGTTGAGGGCGATAGAGCGCTGGTTTGCTGGGTGGGTGGTGGCTGCAGTGTGGTTGATATGGGGGAGGAGGAGGAGAGAAGGGGAGGGGAAGTAATGGGGAAGGAGAGGAACAAAGCAGGGAGGGCGGAAGGGCATTCGATGTGAGGGGATGGGAGGGGAGGAGGGAGGAGGGAGGAAGACGTTCTTGGCACTAATAATGATGGAACAAGGTCTATAGTTTTCAGAACCTCAATCACTTTATCATCTTTTTATATTTTTCGCAATGGCTGAGAGACTAGCTGGAAATGATGATACCAAAGGCCATTGGCTTCAAGCACAAACGCATGGAGGGAGGCAGCATAGGGGTGTGGTTAGGCAAGAGGGGAAGCACAGCAGTGGCGCGTGCAAGATATACCTTGGTCTTTCTTCGCAGAGCGGGGAGAGGGAGGGCGGTCGGCATACGTGCCCTCTGGTGCTGGCGCCCACTCCGCCTGGCGTGCAAGAAGGGAGGGAGGGAAAAAGGAAGAAGAGATCAAGATGGGGGAAATCAGTCCGTCTCGGTGTGAAAGGGTTGGCGAGGGATGGCGGTCACCATACACGCCCTCTGGTGCTGGCGCCCACTCCGCCTGGTGAGAGGGGGGATGAATGGGGGGAGGTTAAAAGGGTAGGGAGAATTGTTTTCCATACTCGTGTGGAACAATGCAAGGGGGCGGCGGTCAGCATGTGTGCCAACCAGTGCTGGCGCAGACTCCGCCTGGTGAGAGGGAAGGGGAGAAGGGAGAATGGGATTGGGGAAGCGACAGTGAGGAGGGGTGAAGGGGAAGAGGAGGGGTGAAGGGGAAGAGGAGGGGTGGAAAGGTGCAGACGGGAAAGACAGGAGGGTGGAAAGAGGAGGGACTGAAAAGGAGGGAGAAAAGAAAAGCAAGTTCACAAGTTGACTCCAGCGTAAAGAACTGGCGAGGGAGGCCGACGCGAAAAAAAAAAAGTTTTTTGAAGTGAAACGTCTCATAACATTCTTTGTTTCTGAATTCTAAATAGTCATGTGGGAGTGAGTTAATTTAGGGGCGTCTCAAACATTGCACTTTCACGTAGAGATTTGACAAGGCCAGGCGCTGCCACGATGGCAGGGAGCATACACCCTATGCGCTGCTGGAGAAATTCCTACCTAACGGGTTCTTTAGGCGCCTCAAATAACAGGTAGGGTGTTGGACCAAAAGTAGAGAAGAGAGGATCAGTGGCAGCCCAACGATGCGAGAAAAGAGGGTGGAAAGCTGGAGAGAGGCAAGTGAGAGAGCAGCAAAGAAGGAAGGGTCTGAGTGGGCCTGTGCAGTAAGGCGATGCAGTAAAGTCATGCACACTGGCAGTGAAGGCGATGCAGTAAAGTCATGCACACTGGCAGTGAAGGCGATGCAGTAAAGTCATGCACACTGGCAGTGAAGGCGATGCAGTAAAGTCATGCACACTGGCAGTGAAGGCTGGGATTCTCATTTGACAGAGCAGGGCAGAGGTGATGGCGACTGATACCTGGTAGAGGAGTCCGTATGGTCGGTGCAGCAGCAGAGAGCTGTCGTACTTGAACACCTTGAAGCTGATAGGTGCAAGTGAGGGGAGGATGGGGGTGGGGGAGAGGCAGGAAGGGATACTTGAACTGAACGCGTTGAAGCCTTGAAAGCCTCAATAGTCAGTCGGTGCAGCAGCAGAGAGCCGTCGTACTTGAACACCTTGAAGCTGATAGGCGCAGGGGGTAAGAAGCAGCATTCGTGGGGAGAGCGGCGGGTGAGGGGCAGAGGAAAGCGAATGAGAAAACGCACGCAGGTATGAAAAGTAAAGCTGGAGTGCACATTCAACGTGGCTCGGGATGGAACGTGGGAAGGGGATTCATTGGTTGGATGAGCTGAGCTGTTTGATGAGAAGCAACAGCTCATCCAACGAATCGCCCCAGACGTCAACTGGTGGAGCCCCAACGGCCGTCACATCCTCACGCAAAACACACGAGGATGGGTCAGCCGTCAGGGTTCCACCTCGACTTGATATGCCTGTGAGTGAGCGCTCAACAAAGGTATTTAATAGTGGGCAATGGGCGCATGCACGTGTGTCAGTTTTCTATTTCACTAAAGAAACATCTCTGAGCGTTTAAAAGAAGTATTCAAGAGTGGGCAATAGGCGCATGCGTGTCTATAAGCTCACCCTTTGTCCACTTCCAGGCGGGGCGCGGTGGTGGCGACAAGAATGTGGCGGCCACAAGAATGTGGCGGCCATCGGGGCCCCACTCGGCTGACACTCCACTTGGCACCTTGGCCTTTCCCTGCTGCTTCTGAGATTTCTCCAAGGCATCTACCGGCTCACCCATTGTCCACTTGCAGGCGGGGCGCGGTGGTGGCGACAAGAATGTGCCGGCCATCGTGGCTCCACTTGATATGGGTTCCAGCTAGGTATTGCGCAAGTGCGTACCAGGCTACCAACGTACCCGTTGTCCACTTGCAGGCGGGGCGCGGTGGTGGCGACAAGAATGTGCCGGTCATCGTGGCTCCACTTGATATGGGTTCCAGCTAGGTATTGCGCAAGTGCGTACCAGGCTACCAACGTACCCGTTGTCCACTTGCAGGCGGGGGGCGGTGGTGGCGACAAGAATGTGCCGGCCATCGTGGCTCCACTTGATATGGGTTCCAGCTAGGTATTGCGCAAGTGCGTACCAGGCTACCAACGTACCCGTTGTCCACTTGCAGGCGGGGGGCGGTGGTGGCGACAAGAATGTGCCGGCCATCGTGGCTCCACTTGATATGGGTTCCAGCTAGGTATTGCGCAAGTGCGTACCAGGCTACCAACGTACCCGTTGTCCACTTGCAGGCGGGGCGCGGTGGTGGCAACAAGAATGTGCCGGCCATCGGGGCTCCACTCGGCCGACACGCCGCACGGCGCCTTGGCCTTCCCCTGCTGTTTCAGTCGTGTTCGCTCCCACACCTCCTGCCAAGGGGGACAGGTGCAGGCAGGGAAAGAGGCACGGGGATAGGCCACAAAGAGGGAGAGAGGGAAAGAGGCACGGGGATAGGCCACGAAGAGGGAGAGAGGGAAAGAGGCACGGGGATAGGCCACGAAGAGGGAGAGAGGGAAAGAGGCACGGGGATAGGCCACGAAGAGGGAGAGAGGGAAAGAGGCACGGGGATAGGCCACGAAGAGGGAGAGAGGGAAAGAGGCACGGGGATAGGCCACGAAGAGGGAGAGAGGGAAAGAGGCACGGGGATAGGCCACGAAGAGGGAGAGAGGGAAAGAGGCACGGGGATAGGCCACGAAGAGGGAGAGAGGGAAAGAGGCACGGGGATAGGCCACGAAGAGGGAGAGAGGGAAAGAGGCACGGGGATAGGCCACGAAGAGGGAGAGAGGGAAAGAGGCACGGGGATAGGCCACGAAGAGGGAGAGAGGGAAAGAGGCACGGGGATAGGCCACGAAGAGGGAGAGAGGGAAAGAGGCACGGGGATAGGCCACGAAGAGGGAGAGAGGGAAAGAGGCACGGGGATAGGCCACGAAGAGGGATAGAGGGAAAGAGGCACGGGGATAGGCCACGAAGAGGGAGAGAGGGAAAGAGGCACGGGGATAGGCCACGAAGAGGGAGAGAGGGAAAGAGGCACGGGGATAGGCCACGAAGAGGGAGAGAGGAAAAGAGGGGCGAATCTTGAGTGCCGGCCGTCTGGGCTCCACTCGGTTGACATGACAACTCCAGACAGCGCCTTGGCCTTCCCCTGCTGCGTCAGTCATGTGCGCTCCCACACCTCCTGCCAAGGCGGGACAGGCCGGGCCAGGGGGGTATGCGGAGACACAGAGAGGGAGATAGAGTCGAGAGAGAGGAGGGAGGCTGGCTGTTAAGGGCGGCTCCACTCGGCTGACACACCACATGGCGTCTTGGCCTTCCCCTGCTGCTTCAGCCGCGTGCGTTCCCACACCTCCTACCAAAAGGGGGACAGTCAAGGACAGCGAGAGAGAGGTGCGGTGAGGGTGTGATTGTTAGTATGACGCCATTCAATGCGTACAAACAAGACGTTAGCGATATGGGCGGGGTTATCTACATGCGATGTTCTGATATATGCCCTTAACCGTTCAGCATATGTTCTGATATATGTTCAATGCCTTACAACAAGATACACAGCAAGAACATGAATGCACGTGAGAAGTTACAACAACTCCACACTACCAGTCTCATCTCATGTCACAACATCAGCAGCACACAGTCAGTTTCGATCAAAATACCACCAGCGCACTCTATCTCTCACTCTAATAATTCACCAACATTCAGTCGCATTTGCAATGTCACAGCCAGGCACACTGTCAATCACGAATTCAAAGTGCCACCAGCACACGCAAACACTCATTCAAACATACACACACACGTTGGTTGGTAGAAAAAAAATACTCACAACATCACCGGGAAGATTGCCGAATCCCGCAAGACAGATAACTGCGGGGGAAGGAAGGAGGGAGGAAGCAACGTGGTGGTGATGACAGGCAGATGGCATGGGGAGGGAGGGGAAGGGGGACAACTTTGATAGGGAAGGGTGGAGAATGGAAGACCGAGAGGGAAGGGTGGAGAATGGAAGACCGAGAGGCTAACGTGCGTACATGATACACCACCATGTGTGCACGCATGGTGTGTTCAGTTAGAACAAGCTAACGGAAAGATAAAAAAGAGGGAAAAGAAAAAGTAAAAAAAAAACAGAAAATATATAAAATAATAAAGCATGCACGCACGCACGCACACGCACGCAGCACGCACGCACGCACACGCACGCAGCACGCACGCACGCACGCACGCACGCACGCACGCACACACGCACGCACGCACGCACGCAGCACGCACACATGCACGCACGCACGCACGCACGCACACACGCACGCACGCACGCACGCAGCACGCACACATGCACGCACGCACGCACGCACGCAGCACACACGCATACACACACACCAGCCTCTCAGCCACCTACAATCCGCTCCGCACCGCACACTACCCCTGTTCAATCACAACCGCCCCCTCCCATCACTCACATCGGCCATGCGGGCTCCAGCGCACCAGGTTGCGCGGGCCAGAGCCAAAGTCAAAGAGAGGCTTGCAGCGATTATCGAAGAGTGTGGCCTTGGCTGGCATGACTGGTGGGCGCAGGGTGGGAACAGGGCAAAGGGAGAAAGGAGAAGGTCAGGAGGGGTGGGAGAGCACATGCATGAGTGGGAATGGCCGGGTTGTGGAATTCAAAGTCAAAGAGGGGCTTGCAACAACAAAAAGTATGGCCTTAGCTAGCATGACTGGCAGCAATGGCTTCAGAAAAAAACTTCTTTCTTGTTGCCATCATTTTGCACTATTCATGTTCTGCGTGTCCTTTCGCACACGATGAGCTCTGCCGTTTTTGCTCGTCCAAGGTGTGTCTAGTTCAATGCAATAAACTGTGCAATGAGCTGGACACGCTTTGGACGAACAAAAACGGACGAGCTCATCTTGCGCGAAGGGACCCCCAGAATATGAATAGTGCAAACTGATGGCAACAAGAAACAAAATCTTTAATGTAAAGATGAAAGCTGTAGCATTTATTTGGATGCAGCTTATGTTTGGTAGATGTCATGCCACACAATTGGTGCACGAATCATGCCCAAAAAACTGGGGCAAAACGTGGACATCCATGCATCCCACTCACATGGATGCACCCCACTCACATGCATGCACCACATGTGGGTGCCATGGAGGTGCTACGACTGCACATGTAACACTCACATCCATGCACCACCACAAAGTCCTTCCCATTGGGCGACCACTGCACGTCGTGAATCGGCCCCTCCTTCGCTGCCAGAGGGGTGCACGGGAAGTGGGAAAACCGGGAGAAAGCACGGGAAGGAGAACAAGCAGCGAAGCATGAAGAGACAGTCTGCAGCGATTGCCCAAGTAGAGAGCAAGTTGTTCCCATTGGGCGACCACTGCACGTAGTAAATCAGCCCCTCCTTTGCTGCCAACACAGGGGGGCATGGGCAGTGGGGGAAGCGGGGAGGGGACAGAAAGTGATGCACGAAGCAATGCTAACAGCACATACAATCACACTCACAAAGCAGCACATACAGTCACACTCACAAAGCAGCACATACAGTCATACTCACAAAAGAAGCACATACAGTCACACTCACAAAGCAGCACATACAGTCACACTCACAAAGCAGCACATACAGTCACACTCACAAAGCAGCACATACAGTCACACTCACATAGCGGCACTTCGCCTTCAAAGTTCCCATCAGCCGCCAGGAAGTGCAGCCCCGACTCGCTATAGCCCATCCAGTCACATTCTCACACAGTAGCGCATACAGTCACACCCAAATACAGCCACACTCACACAGTGGCATGGCGCCCTCAAAGCTCCCATCGGCCGCCAGGAAGTGCAGCCCCGACTCGCCGTAGCACATACAGTGACATTCACATACAGTCACAACCACTCACATAGAGGCACAGCGCCCTCAAAGCTCCCATCAGCCGCCAGAAAGTGCAGCCCCGACTCGCCGTAGTAGCTCTGATTGGTCTTGTCCACGTCAGAGTGCGTCCATGCCAGCACAGCAGTGGTCCCCACGTTCCACACCAGCCGCACGGCACTGCACTTGAAGAAGCTGCGCCGCGCTATGGGGGCCGGTGGGGCAGCGGCAGAGGAGGAGGAGGAGGAAGGGGTGGCGCTGTCTCGCGTGAAGATGCGCACACTGGCTGGGGCTCCCTGGAGGAAGGCAGGGGAGAGAGGGGCAGTGAGCGGGAGAGGAGACAAATCACTTGAAACAACTCTGCAAAGGGTGGCGCTGTCACGGGTGAAGATGCCCACACAGCTGGGGCTCTCTGGGCGGATATGGGGAATGGGAGAGGGAGGGCAAGAGGGAAGGGAGACAAAGGACCATAAAGCGGAGCGCCATACAGACTGTCACTCATGAAGACTCGCACACTGGCTGGTGCTCCCTGGGAGAAATGCGGTGGGGAGAGGGGTAGTGAGAGATGGGAGAGGCGGAGAAGAGAGGGGCAGTGAGAGGGAACAAGGGGAGACGAATGACTTAATTCTGACCTCCTCACACCGCTGGATGTTCTGAGTCGACGCAGAACACAACAACATCTGCACCTCAACGCTCTAAAAACTGATGTACGTACCTACCACCTTGAATTGCACTGACTGTCCTATTCTGCACCCCTTCGTGAAGGCTCGTGACAACAGGTGCACCTCATCACTCCACAAACTGATGTACGCACCTACCAACACACCTACCAATTCAGACCAGTCAGTGCAAGGCTGTACAAACTGTCACTGCATTGCACTGACTGGTCTGTTCTGCACCCAATCCCCTCCTTACCACACACGCACCTTTGCCAGAGGAGCGATGTGAGACGGCGCCGACGGTGCCAGCTGAAACGTAAGGGTTTGCTTACAGTTCAAAGAAGCCCTGCACTGGCCGCGCACACGCATGCACGTGCACGCATGCACGCGCGCATGGACGTGCACGCACGTACATTGGCTTCAGGGGCGAACACAGCAATGTGAGACGGGGGCGATGGGGCCAGCTGCAGAGTAACGGTTTGCTTGCTTTCAGTTCAACGCAGCATAGCACTGCGCGCATCACACACGCATGAATGAACGAACGTACCTTGGCCTCAGGGGCGAACACAGCAATGTGAGACGGCGGCGACGGTGCCAGCTGTGCTGACGTCATCCCCGGCACCTTGAGGCGGGCGGCCACGCCGGCCGCCAGGTCAGCGCCGGTGAACAGTTGCACCTCGCCGTTCACCGGGCGGCAAGCCACGGACTCATCTGCGCTGAACTGCATGCTGGGCCTGCAGGGAAAAAAAGGGGTGTGTGCAGGTGAGGGTGAGTTTTTTGAGAATTCTCAAAAAACAGGCCATGCAAAACTACTCAAACGGGGCTTGTGTTGTGTGGATGAGTCCGTAGGAGTTGTGTTGTGTGGATGAGTCCGCAGGAGTTGTGTTGTGTGGATGAGTCCGTAGGAGTTGTGGTGTGTGGATGAGTCCGTAGGAGTTGTGGTGTGTGGATGAGTCCGTAGGAGTTGTGGTGTGTGGATGAGTCCGTAGGAGTTGTGGTGTGTGGATGAGTCAGTAGGAGTTGTGGTGTGTGGAGAAAAGTGTGTCTTGTGCACTTGTCTCTCCATCACCACCTCCCCATCACTCCATCCCCTCACTTCACCATACATACACACACACCCTATCTCATCTCTCGCTCACTGTGCTTGCATGCAGCAAAAGTCATCCGCAGCGTCCCCCATTGGAAGTCCGTTGCTTGCACGCACTCCCTTATCCCTCCTCCACCACATCCCCATTTTTTAGGGGCCTACAAAATCTGCTGCACCCCCCTTAACCCTCCCCTCCACTAACTCCCCATCGGATTCGGCCACTCAGCCACTCTATCATCCCCTGTCGACCATTGAGTCGAGTTGACTTTTGAGTCGACTCAAAAGTCCTCCCCTCCACTAACTCACCATCCGATTCAGCCATTCAGCCACTCCATCTTCCCCTGCCGTTGAGCATGCTCGTTCGTGCATGCTCGTTCGTGCATGCACCCACTCAACCACCCATGCCACCATGCACTGCACACACCCATCAACTCCTTTCCTCACCATCCACCCCCACACCCCACCCACCATGCGGCAGAGTTGAAAGTCTTCTACAAATGATGAAGCACTGATGAAGGCTCAGCGGAGTTCTGTCCCGTTTGGCTGGAACTAGACGACTTTTGAGACGTCTCAAAAGTCTGTCCCGTTTGGCTGGAACTAGTTTGCGATGAATAGTTTTTCGAGGTTTGGAGGCCTTGAGATCGTTTTGAATTTCTAGGAACAAGTTTTTTACAAGTCTTGATCCTTTTGCTAAGCGTTTTCTCAGAAGTTTGCTGCTACTCCCAACATGAACCTTGGTCCCTCCCTGGGCAGTTGACAGTCTTCTACAGCTGCTGCCACACCACCTCCCCGTCACTCTCTCAACCCCTATCGTTCTCTGTTACTCACCCACCCTTGCACCCAAACCCGTGCCGCAACACCCATCCATACCACTCCCCATCCACCCACCATGCAGCAGAGTTGAATGTCTTCTGCACCTGCCGCCACACCACCTCCCCATCGCTCACCCGCCGCACCGTCAGATTGGGCTCTGCCTGGCCACCCCCTGCTGGAGCCGGTGTGGGGCGTTGAAACACCTGCAGTGGGAGGGGGGTGGGGAGTGGGGGGAGAAGGGGAACAAGAGGGTCAACCCACCTCCCCATCGCTCACCCGCCGCACCGTCAGATTGGGCTCTGCCTGGCCCCCTCCTGCTGGGGGTGCTGAGGGGCGTTGAAACACCTGCCGTTGGGGGGGGAAGGGCGGGGGGGAGAAGACTAGGAGGTTCAATGCATACACACTCACCCGCCGCACCGTCAGATTGGGCTCTGCCTGGCCCCCTCCTGCTGGTGCTGAGGGGCGTTGAAACACCTGCCCTGCCATGTAAGGGGAAGAGAAGACAGGGGGAGTCAAGGGAAGAAGAACAGAGGGTCAGCACAAAGTCACCTGCCCTGCCATGTAAGGGGATTCAAGGGAAGAAGAACAGAGGGTCAGCACAAAGTCACCCGGCGCACCGTCAGATTGGGCTCTGCCTGCCCGCCCCCGGCTGGCGCTGAGGGGCGTTGAAACACCTGCAGTTGGGGGAGGAAGGGAGGGCGGAGGACCGGAAGTGAGGGGAGGGAGTGGAGGGGGGAAAATGAGGATCGGCACACAAACACCCGCCGCACCATAAAGCCCGCCCCCGGCCCTGACTGGTGCTGAGGGCCGTTGAAACACCTGCGGTAATGAGGGGGGAGGGAGGAGGGGGGAAGAGGCGCACAGGAGGGGAACAAGAGGGTCGGCACACAGACAGACACCCGCCGCACCGTCAGATTGCTCTCCGCCTGCCCGCCTCCCCTGCTGGTGCTGAGGGACGTTGAAACACCTTGACATGTTGGGGAGAGAGGAGGAGGGAAATAGGAGGGTCAATACAGACACTGTCAGATTGCTCTCTGCCTGCCCGCCACCTGCTGGTGCTGAGGGACGTTGAAACACCTTGACTTGACATGTTGGGGAGAGAGGAGGAGGGAAATAGGAGGGTCAATACAGACACTGTCAGATTGCTCTCTGCCTGTCCGCCACCTGCTGGTGCTGAGGGACGTTGAAACACCTTGACTTGACATGTTGGGGAGAGAGGAGGGAAATAGGAGGGTTAATACAGACACTGTCAGATTGCTCTCTGCCTGCCCGCCACCTGCTGGTGCTGAGAGACGTTGAAACACCTTGACTTGACATGTTGGGGGGAGAGGAGGAGGGACATAGGAGGGTCAATACAGACACCGTCAGATTGCTCTCCGCCTGCCCGGCCCCACCTGCTGGTGCTGGTGTAGGCCGCTGAAACACCTGCAGTGGGAGAGGAAGAAGGGGAGGGGGAAGAGGAAAAGGAGGTTCACCACGCACAGCCACTCACCTATCACATGATGCTTCCACTCACTCACAGCCACTCACCTATCACATGATGCTTCCACTCACTCACAGCCACTCACCTATCACATGATGCTTCCACTCACTCACAGCCACTCACCTATCACATGATGCTTCCACTCACTCACAGCCACTCACCTATCACATGATGCTTCCACTCACTCACAGCCACTCACCTATCACATGATGCTTCCACTCACTCACAGCCACTCACCTATCACATGATGCTTCCACTCACTCACAGCCACTCACCTATCACATGATGCTTCCACTCACGCACAGCCACTCACCTATCACATGATGCTTCCACTCACTCACAGCCACTCACCTATCACATGATGCTTCCACTCACTCACAGCCACTCACCTATCACATGATGCTTCCACTCACTCACAGCCACTCACCTATCACATGATGCTTCCACTCACTCACAGCCACTCACCTATCACATGATGCTTCCACTCACTCACAGCCACTCACCTATCACATGATGCTTCCACTCACTCACAGCCCTCACTCGCCTGCAGGTACGAGCCCTTGGGTGAGAAGGCGAGCGCCTGCACGCCCTCCAGAGGCATGTGCAGCCTCTGCTCGCCGGACGGCACGTGAATGAGACGAACGCCGCCGCCCGCTGCTGCGACCGCCACGAGGGTCCCATCGGGGCTGAACTTTGCCTGCGAGCAGGGCAGACTGGGAAGGGAAGGCAAGAACGGACGGGGGGAAGGGGGAGGGGAACATGTGGGGTGCAGTGCAGGTGGCGCAAAAGGTGTGGTGTGGTGTGGTGTGGCAGTGGCAGCCCACCATTGGCATGTGTGACCGCCACGAGGGTGCCATGCCATCTGGGCTGAACTTGGCCTGCGAGCAGGGCAGTGTGGGAAGGGAAATGAGGAGAGGAGGAGGAGGAGGGAGCATGATGGGGTGGTGGGAGGTCTGGGTGGTTTTTGTCTTTTGAGTGACTTTGGGGCACCTCAAAACTGCAGGAAAAGCCGAGAGGGCAGAATATATGAAAAGGGTTTCGGTTTCTGGGTTTAACAGAGGGACTCGGAATGCGGGGACACAAGGGGAAGCAGCAGAGAAGACAGCAGTGAGCAACCGGGGACACATTGTACACAAGGAAAGGGTGATGGGTTTCGGGTTTAATCGGGGATTGAAGGTGGGTGGGTGCTGACGTAAACCTCTGAGGCGCCTAGGAGATTGTTCCAAGTGGAGGACGAGGGCGGTGCTGACGTGGCATGCGTTGGCGTGAGTGAGGGGAGTGGGACGATGGCGGAACTGATGGCTTGGGTGAAGTGCGGTGGATGTCGGTTCTACAACGTAATGTGCGTGGCAGGGGAGAGCAGAGGGGGGCAGACGTTAAATGCGTGCTTATGAGAAGTGTGAATACCCGAAGAGTGTGACTAACGGACAAGTGTGACCATCCTACAACATCGAATATTCTCACTTCTGAACGGCGGCGATCGGCTCGACCTGCGATGCAGTCACGTGTGACAATAGCGAGAGGCCCTGCTTGTCGCGCGCTGCGACGGAGATGTGCAAGGAGGGAGCGGAGGGGATGGTGGAGTGGAAGGGGAGAGAACGTGGGGAAGACGATAGCGAACGGTGAGCTGCCAAATGTAGGAGAACGGTACTAATGAGGAGGCGGTAAAACGGATTCCACCCAGCACGAAGCGTTGGTGCTACAAACGACGCGGCACATAACGCGGACACGCGATGCGCACAAGACGCTGGATTGAAGAATTGCATTCGATGTGAGCGGCGTTCGCGAGAGGATCTTTGCGACGTCTCAACAAGCGAGAGGACGTCGCTCGGCTGTGCGACAGGAAGAGTGTATTGCGTCGTCTAACGACGCGAAACGACTGCGGCGACGAGGCGCTTACTGAGAATCGTGGGCGGGGGCGTTGCTGGATGGCTGTCAGGCGATTCGGCAGCCATTGGGAAGAACGGGAAGTGGACCGAGTTGAGGAGAAACGGCGAGGACATGCGCATGGAAATAGGCCATAGAGTGCCGAAATATATCCTATAGGCTGAGTGCGATAAAGTACAAGAAACACACGTTCGCGTGTGGATAGCCAGCGAACTAAAATACCTTTAAGTTCCACTTTGTGCATGAAGGCAGCCACTAGTACCGGTAATTGTATTGTCAATGATATAATACTTCAGAAGATTTTTGCAAATATCATACAATCAAGTAGCCAGTATTTCAAATTTCTTGACCAAACATTACACGACATGGAAGAGAGATGGTTGCAATAGAAGGCATGGAGACTAGGTGGGCTATGAAACAACCACGCTGACTATTGAGAAAGCTTGCTTTCTTTTCCTTATAATTTGGCATCGTTCTGGCATCGTTCTCATTGCAACTGGCTTATTACAACATATGCATCGTTCTTTAACACATGCTAGTACAGGCAAATATTACTAGCTATGGAGTCGTCTGTCCAAGCAGCTGTGGTCTTGTTGTTGGTCCGGGGTGGGTGGTGGGGATGTTGATTGAGTCGTTGGAAAACGAGAAACGTGGGTGGAGGGAATGAACTCCAACCCACAGTTTTTGTAGTTGGAGAAGGGTGTTTAGCGCGCTTCGATGCTGCCAAATATTCGGTACAGGCAGCTTCGCTTTCACAATACACAATTTTGAAAAACATCAATGTGTTTAAAAATTATAATATTGAGAAAACTTGTTTTCTTGTCCTTATAATTTGGCATCGTTCTCATTGCAACTAGGGCCTCTGAGATATGGGTAGCGGTGGCTTCTGTCAGAATCCCAACCACTAGACCATTGGGATAAAAGGGCTTGTTTCAGTAGCGGGTCAGTGAGCCCATAACCCCCCAGGCAAACGCGCCTGTAACCCCCCTTAGGATCGATCGGAGATCTCACAGTGTAGCTCTACTGACAGCTTCCAGTTGCGTAAGTGTGCCTCTGCGTGCTGTTCTGGGGGCAGTGCGTATGTCGGGTCCTGTAGGTCGCGGGATGCCTTGATAAGATGTCCAACGTATGGTATGACGTACATCTCTTTGGCTGTGTCACTTCGCCACCTGTCCATCCTTTTGAAGATCCTGTCCGTTTTTTAGTGTGGGATGAGGATCCACGTGACTTCGTCGTCGAATTGGATCTCTTGCCATTGGATGGCAACCAGGTCGGAGTATCGCAAAAATCTGGAGTACATGAGAATAGGGATCAACCCCTTCTAAAATTCAGCAGGATTGTCCGACTCCAAGTAGTTCGCGGACATGTCCCGAACTTGTTGGATTGATACGGGCTCCTTCAAACGACTAGGGCGAGGGCAGTGTCGTTTCGCGTAGTCCTGCATTTGGGTGGTAAACGGTCCGACAGTCGGGCATTTGCTTCCAGTCATGCGATGGGCGAAGCTGACTGCCGAGCACGTGAGCTGCACTACAGACAAGGTTGCTATGCGTTGGATTGCGTGCACCAAGTATAGCGCGAGGGCCATGTCGGATGCGAGAAGAAATGGAAGATCAACCTTTGTGCAGAAGGCCCGAAACTTGGCCCAGTACGGTTCGTATGTACGAATCGTCGAATTCGCTCGCGATTGTGTGAGCATGTTGATGAGTTGATTGTGTAGCTTTGAAAGCAGCTCTGGACACAAGGCGCGTACACTCTCAATTAGTCAAAAACCACCCGAAGTGCGATTATTGGGCTGTGTGGTAATCCAGTGCCTGAAAAAGAAGCGGAATGTGTTCCAGGTGCCATACATTGGCTGCCGTGTGTCAAGGGAATGTGCGCGTGGATGTACGGTGCCCAGTTGCGTGGGGAAGGTTGTAGGAGTGGCCATTAGTTTGCACCCGGCCAGTGTGGGATGATCAGTGTGAGCGATGCATGGGTGCACTGTGCGTGATGGAGGACGGCCGGTACTAAAAGGGACGGGGGGAAAGCAAAGCTATTTTCTGATGTCCATGCGAGCGAGAATGCATCTACTGCGGTGGCTTGTGGATGAGGAATTTTCGTGCAGAAGCGTGGCAGCTGAGAGTTGCGGGAGTTTGCAAAGAGGTCGATGGAATGGGAACCCAACACCGTTCTAAGTTGCGGAACCACGACGTCTTCAACGAGTAGTCGTCATGATCGACAGCTTTTGAGAGCCCATCGGCGTGTGAGTTTAGCTCGTGTGGGATCCATTCGATGATTAGACGCGTGCCGTGCTCCATGCATATCCGAATGATGCCTTGGCAAGTCGTAGTAAGGTCAGGGCTGCGCGAGCCACCTTTGCGAAGGATGAAGAAGACACCCTGATTGTCCACCCGCACAAGAACATGTTTGTGCGTGATCTTGCTGGAGTATGTTTGGAGTGCCGAAAGCACTCCTTCGATATCCCTCCTTGTGCTGGACGTCGCTCGCAGCGGCTCTGGCATTGTTGCGCTAGCTTCTTCGAGGCCGCCAGGGAATGTGGTTAAAGTGGTGCCCCAACTGTGAGCGCTAGCATCCACATGGATTATAGCATCGTAGCTGTTTCAAACGTGAAACGGTGCACCATTGAACCTATCAAACTCTTCGAGCCAGAAGTTTAGCTCCTCAGTCGTGGGTGGGGGGATGATCACGCTGCTTTTCCATGAAGGTGCGTCATTTATCACTTGTAGCATGGCGTGGCTGAAAGCATGAGCTGTTGCGCCCAGCGCAACGCCCATTGACGCGAGTGTCAGAATCAGAAACGAGAAAATGAGGAGTGACTAGCAGGAACAACAGTACAAATATGTCAAACCCTAATCTGGTGTACCCCTTATGGTGTGACCCACTACAGCCTAGAACCACACAAACATATAATGTTTGACACACCCCCATAGGCAAAGTGGGGAGACCTAGGGGTCACAAGACCAGTCAAGGCAAAACAAGGCAAACAAGCTCAGGGTGGATCTCGAGGATTCCACACAAATTCCGAGCACAAGCAAGCGGTCACAAGACCAGTTCACATGCAGTTTTATCATAGAGCAAGAGGTACAATGATCACAACCTAACAAGGCAAACATGCATGTATATATATAATGATCACAGTACAAGTAAAGTCAGGAAGTAAGTAAGTGAGAAACAGTCGGCACAAGGCCTAGAAGAGTGCAAAAACGCTGATGGTCAACAGGCGGAAGCGCCTTGGTGAACACATCAGCAGTGTTGGCCTCAGTGGCCACGTAACGCAGAAGAAGCTGACCACGCTGCTGTAGCTCTCGAGCTAGAAAGTAACGCAGAGCAATGTGCTTCGTCCTGTGCTCCAGTCTGTGCTCCTCACACAAGGCAATGGTTGCCTTGTTGTCGACGTACAGCACTGGAGGAGAACGAGGCTGCTCTCCAAGGTCAGTCAGCAGGTAGGTGAGCCAGCGAAGCTCCTGGGCAGCCATTGCCGTGGCGTAGATCTCAGCCTCACAGCTGGAGCTGAGAACAGAAGAAGAACGAGTAGAACGCCAAGAGACAGAGCCAGAGCCAAGACTGAAGGTGTAACCCTGAGACGACCGCTGAGTAGCCTGGTCGTCTGCCCAAGAAGCGTCTGAGTGCCCAGTGAGAACAGGCCGGTCTCGCCCTCCAAGCACTAGCCCCATGCCCGACGTACTGCACAAGTAGCGCAACACCCTCTTAGCTGCATCCATGTGCTCCTTCCGGTGACGGCCGGGAGCAACATAGCGTGCTAAGATGCTGAGAGGGTATGCTAGGCCAGGTCGAGTGCAGGTCATCAGGTACATGAGGCAGCCCACAAGCTCTGGATACGGACCACTCGACTCTACGGACTCATCCGAAGGCAGAGCTGAGAGCGAGTGACCCGTAGGCAGAGGAGTGGACTGAGGCGAGGAGTACGTGAAGCCGAAGCGCTGAAGGACCTGCTGCACCATGTGTGACTGAGTCAGGGTAATGGTGCGGCGTGCTCTGAAAACGGGTGATCCGCAAGCCAAGATAGCTTGTCAGTTCACCCAGGTCTGTGCACGTGTGTCTCTTCTGCAGCTCGAACTTCACGTGGGCGAGTGGGGCAGTGTCCGCAGTGGCAAAGACCAAGTCATCGACGTACACGAGGATGTAGAACGGCGGCAGCGAGGTGTCGGTGCGCAGAAACAGCGACGGGTCAGCAGTAGAAGGAGCAAACCCAAGAGCCGAAAGTGTAGTCCTCAGTGTGTCGTGCCACTCACGCGGCGCCTGGCGGAGACCGTAGACTGGCCGCCGGAGGCTCCACTGGGTGCCAGGAGGGAACGACCCAGTGAAGCCAGGTGGGCGGCGCAGCCAGATCTCCTCGTGCAGGCTGCCCTGCAAGAAAGCTGTGCTGAAGTCAAGAGAGTGGAGCTCGTAGTCACGCTGAGCGGCGACGTGTAGCAGAACCCGAAGAGTGGTCATCTTCGGGGTCGGGGAGAAGGTCTGGAAGAAGTCAACTCCCTCTCGCTGACTGAAGCCTCGTGCAACGTAACGCGCCTTGAAGACAGGCGGAGAGCCCGGCGGCCGCTTCACCCTGAAAATCCACATGCCACTGATGATGTTGGCCCCAGGTGGGGGAATCTCGTCGACGTAGGTGCCTGTGGACTTCCAGGAAGCCATCTCTGTGTCCATGGCTGACTGCTACTGAGAGGAGTAGGGACCGGCCATCGCCTCTGCGTAAGAGCGTGGGGTCGGGATGTCTGGTGCATCCGGGTCTCCCTCAGGGGCAACAAGCATGGACACGAGATGGGGCAAAGCAGCGGCAAGGCAACCAAACTCCTCCTGCCTGTCCTCAAGGACGTCCGTGCCAAGAGCACACTCACCCCCGACGAACGGAGGACAGGCAGACTCAGACTCAGCAACAAGACTCGCTGCGTAGTCTAGACGACACGCAGCTGCAAAGTCGACAAGCTCAGTGACAAGGGCAGACGCAGCAGCGGACTCAAAGGAAGGGTCAGTGACAACCGTAGCCAGGAGACGTGTGACAGTAGGACTGGCAGCACGAAGGGAGTCTGACTCCGGGTCAGCAAGAGCAGGAAGAGAGGACGCAGGAGGCGACGGGAGAGCAACACGCTGCGGAGCAGTGGAC